GAAAAGTTGATCTAAAAGCATTTTTCCATGCAAACATGGAGAGAACATGCAACTCCACACAGAAAGACTCTGGCCTGATGGTGGAATTGAACTCAAGACTTTCTTGCTGTGAGTGCTAACCACTGTGCCACCGTGCTGCTCCCACAGTTCAAAGGTATGCAGTTAGTGGGGTCTGGTGATTTCTAAATTGCCAATAGGTTTGAATGTGAGTAGAAATGGGTGCCTGTCTATCTGTGTTAGCCCTGCGACAGCTTGCCGACCTGTCCAGGGTGTACCCCGCCTCTCGACCTATAGTAGGATAGTCTCCAGCTTCCCCACAACCCAGATAATGATAAGCAGAAGAGAACAGATGGATGGATGTATTAAAAAGTAGTAAAAAAGATGGAAGGTTAAACAGATAAATAGTAATAATTCTTATAAAAAGAAATGCTCCTTTCACAGAAGCCATGTGTGTAGATGTAGGATTAAAAGCAAACAAAGTTAATAACATAATATAACAAAGGGACATAAAATGTAAAATGTACTGAGGGTGTTCGTCCATTAGTCTCTCTGTAATCCTGCACGCAAGTGCATGTGCACGAATGGTGAAGCACACTTTAGAGTACAGTACAGTCGACCGCTCAGCCTTAGACCTGCATCAGCGGTTTTATGCACCCCACTCCTGTAGCAGCAGCTTAAAGTTGGCATGTAAGTGGGCACTTTGTGACTGCTCATTTGGTGATACTGCACAAAAGGTCAGAGGCTGACACAGAGCTGAGAGTGGGTGTTGTCTTCATGTTCCCCACCTACAATAAATAGCTTAAAAGCTCAAAGGGCTCATGATCTCTGCCTCTGCACCTCCACGCATGACCCACATCTTGTCCAAGCATACCCGCAAGCTTTAAATACCAGAGGACACAGAATGAAATATGAATGAATGCCACTCATACAGTATGGAAGCTATCCTACTTCAGAGAAACAAGGTGATTTCTGCTGGCAGGTCTGCTGTACATGAGCACCATCACTCATGAGTCCAGGGAACCACCGGCCTTTCACTGAGCTCATAGCAAGCTGCCCTATTTGGCTGAGTAGAGCAGAGCAATGGCTGAGCATATGGAGTAGTGAAGCCTGCGTCGCTCTAATACCATCTGGGAAAGCAGAAATTACGTAGGTGTATCACCATCTGCTGTCAGAAAACATTTACACAGGCATGTTTGTTTTAATATATATCTGATAGTAAATAGTGGATAATGTCAGGTTCAGTTTTTTGTTTTCAAGGCGGCATTTTTAAAGCTATTCTTTGTTCTTGGACTACTTTAGTAAAGTAGCTTTGTATGATTTATCAATGATAAACACAGCATAATAAAGCTTAATTACCACCTTTTTGACAACTTCCACCAAAAGTGAAAAAGTCAAAGCTGGTTTAAAGTCCTGGATTGGGTCCGCTTTTACCTTCGGAACTGCTTTAACTCTTTACACACAGATTAAACAAGGTGTTCGAAACTTTTCTCAGAGATTTTAGTCCACATTGACATAATTTCATCACACCGTTTTTGCAGAATTTCAAACATTCAAAAGGTGCTTGAACAGATTCATATCTAGTGACTGTTGATACGAATTGAGTACAGTAAGGATTTGAGATTTGTGACATGGAAGATTCACTTTGACCATAAAGAGATGGACCAACAATACTCAGGAAGGCTGCCACATTTAAACATTGCTCAGTTGGTATTAAGAGGAGCAAACTGTGCCAAGGAAATATCCCCCACACTATTACAGCAACACCACCACACCAAGCAGCATGGATCCATGCTTTCATGTTGTTTATGCCAAATTCTGGTCCTGGCACATCACAGCAGAAACTGATACTAATAAAGTGGCTGCAGAGTGTATTTCTCAGGGATGCCTAGTAAAGTGGTACATCAGTATATAACTGAACAGCCTTGCAAAGTTCACAGCTGACAAATCCTAGTAACTGTTTAGCTTCTCTTAACTGACTCTGTATAAAAGTCATTGGTTTCTCAGACACTGAAAGCTCCAGCTCTATAATGACTGCACACAAATGTTTGACTTATTGTCACCAAGTAAAAAATTAGCTTAGTTAATGTGATGCTTACGTATGACTAATACAATAACAGTGTGTCAGACTTAAATACCTAAATGGATTTCTATGGTTTCAGGTCAGTCAGACACACAGCTAAAATAATTCACAACATCCCTAAAAATAAACAGCAGTCCACTGTACCCCAGAGAGGAAGCTCACAGCTCCTCATGTCATGTGCCAATGAGAGAGCCAGCAGCACAGTGTGAGTCAACACTGTGCTACTTCAGGGTGTAAATCCTCTGCACACATTCGTAGCTACTGCTAAGCTGAATGCACACATTTGACTTCAGGTTGAAATAAAACCTAACAGTAACTGAACCACCTCTGCGTCACCTGGTTTATCACCCCTTGTCCAGCTGGTGCTACATCTGTGAAACGTTAAAGGGGTTTTAAACACGGCAGTGCAATGGCCACAACACATGTAACACACAGGACATGACACAGGTTGAAAACTGTACTCCGGTCTCTTCCAGGACTGCTTTAAGCAATGTCCTTTCAGTGGTTTATCCTGTGACAACACGTGTACCTACTGTATTGTCAGTGAACAGTTTGCTAACCATGGTAACAAGAGCGAATCAAAGGCACAGTATGAGGCAATTCAATGCCAGCGGCCACATACACGCCTCCTCCTGCTCACTTTCAAAGGACTTAGCTTTTTTCCCCCCTTTTGAAACACTGTTGGTCCAGAAATACAACAGAAAATAAAAAAATGTGACAGTCTGTCAATTTAATTTGCAGGTATTATTTATCAGCTATGCATTATTTTAATAGCTCTACATGTCTTTACCTTTTAAAAACAAGAGTTATGCCAGAAGGACTGAGGTATCCTTCAGCTCCTCTAACGAACACCCCAGAAACAGCTCAGTGCAGAACGCAACACAGAAATGCTATAAGCAAACACCAAAACTCAAACAAGATAAATCAGAGACCAGTGGAGTGCACACGATTATTTTACCGGAAAAGCTGAAAAATAATAATCAAATCTTTCCACCCTGAACTGGTGCTTCTTCACTCTATATATAAAATAAATAAATAAATAAATAAATAAATAAATAAAAAAGCATGGTATCAACCATTTTTCTACAATTATCAAAACTTAAGCTCAGCAGCTCAAAGTATATGCTGGATCAGCTGGAATGTATGATGGCATGCAGGATAATATCCTGAAGCATTATTGCATGTCATGTCTTTACCCTCACTAAATCTCAAATTCACTATACCGCACGTTCTCAAGTGTCATTTATAAAGGTGTTTTTTTCCCTGCAGTTTTATTAATTTGTAGTAGAATTGTTATACATAAAATATTTTTTCTTCATCAAATTGCTTTTATTGTCATTCTGCAAATACAATTAGAGAGGGATACATGAGACACTGACAGGAAAACACAAACTTGACACTTTTGGCATGTTGTTTGACCCTATGAATCCAGTCTGGCGCCTTTCTGTGTGGAGTTTATATGTTCTCCCTTTGCTTGTGTGGGCTCTATCAGGCTTCCTACTACAGTTCAAAGTCATGCATGGGGTTAGGTTAACTGGCCAAAGGTGTGAATGTGAGAGTGAATGGTTTCCTGTCTCTGTGTTAGCCCAACAACAGGCTGGCAACCTATCCAGTGTGTACCCTTCCCATCCCCCAACAGCAGCTGAGATGAGCCCCAGTGGCCCCCTATGACCCTGAAATGGATAAGTGTAAGAAAACAGATAAATGAATGAATGAGTGGATGTGCAACCAACAATCTGAAGCAACTGTGTGATGCTATCATATCAATATGTAATATAATCTCTCTGCCATCAAGAATTAAGACAATAAATACATTAGTTATTCATTGTTGTGCCAAAAACAGCCCACTTTAATCTTACGTGTAAGTACTATTGAAACTCCCCATTTTTATACATTTAATCAATAACATATCTTAATATAAGAAAAAGAACTGACATTTTAATAGCACCTCTAGGTTTTTATATATAAATGCAATCCATTATTATACATCATATAGAAACACCTCTGTAGTCAATGAAAGAAATCTGTCAGCATGAGTCTTTGGGCTTAACTTGTAAGAAGTAAAATGTGTAAAATACAGAAATCTATAATTTAATTACTTTGGTGTAATATAAATGTCCACGGGGAGGTCTTTATCAGTAGGAAAAGCTGTAAAACTTGTGAAAACACAGTTAAAAGTCCAAAATGCATTTCTATTTTTGAAAGCTGTCCAATGGGCCAGAATGTAGTCTACTTCTGGCCAATTCTGGCCCCCGAGCCGTATGTTTGGCACACCTGTTATAGTGTTTTTATAGAAGATGCTCATTGCATCAAGCAAGATGAAATCCCCCTCAGAAAGTGTCTAAAAGCCACAATGAAAATTAAAATTAGTCATCATCCAGGCTGTTGCCAATTTAACCTGTGCAGCTGCTACACCATCATCTTCAATTAATCACCTGACAATCCCTTCTGAAGCAGTGCAGCCTGACATAATACGAGTTTTCAAAGCTTTTAGTACTTTGTCAAGCATTAGAAACACTAAATACTGCACCCTAAAAATCAAACTTTCCAGTACAAGTTTAGGAAAATAATAAGATCAAGTAAAGGTGATTATACTCCATTCATAACACAGGGCAATGCAGGGCAGCCCTGTGATTAGTCGCCTGAAGGATTAACTATTCAGGCCTCAGTTAAGTAGCTCAACTTGTATCTTTGCTGTCGTCAAAACCTGCAACACTGCCTGGCATGGATGGTGGTGACACTGAGCTTTAAGGCTATTTGAATGCTGAGAAATTAAAATGATCCTTTACACGTAGTTCAACATGTTGTCTCTCCAGGGCTGAAAAAACACATTCTATAAATCTTCTAAAAGATATCTGATGCATAAAATGTTTTAAGATAGTAGTATTGCTTTTTTATTTGTGGATAATCATCAGTATTCATCTGTCAAAAGTACAAACACATATCAGTGATTCTTCATTCTGCAGAAAGAGCCTGAGGTTGCATAGCTGCATATCGGAGAAGCAGACAAACAAATACACATAGAATCCTTTATGAATTATGAGCATCCCCTGAGCCAAATTATTCCCTGATGTTTCATTAAAAATCAGCTCTGTTCAACGTACTACTGATCCCAAAGACCAGGGTGACAAACAACACGAAGAAGGTACTTTTATTCAGTGGAAACGCACACCTCTGTAAGCATAAAAAAGGAGATATAATAAGCTTCAATCTTAATTGGAGGGAAACAAACAAAGAAACACTTCATCTGACAGATATATACAGACAGATAATTTACCCACAACTACAAAGTGACATGAGAGGTGACGTTTGGATCTGAAAATTGGGAGGGATTTACAGAAAGTAAGTTGTTACGGTTCAGCGTTAAATCCTTCTATGTATTTAAGCCCTGTGTTTCTGTATGTCATGGTCGCGATCTCCCCCCCCCGTAGTAAATAGTTTGGCGCCTTGTGTTTGGTGATGTAAATAAATGTCGTATCTTGCTTTAAATCTCGTCTTGGGATTATTTTTGTGGAAGTTGCATGCCGGTTGCCTAGGCCGGGGTGTAACAAAGTGTAGGAACAGGTGCCATATCTGAGTTCATGGGTTTCTATAACCCAACAGAAAATCTTACACCACCCTGAGTACATTAGTGCAGTCAGCGCAGTGTTTTTCATACAGGGAGCCTAAGAAGATGCTACTCATGTAACTGAAGAACTCAGTGAAAGTCTTGAATGAATAAAACCAGAATGCCAGTAACACGCTTGTCAGTGTGCTCCATTTTGTAGCAAAACATGAACAAAGCATCTGCGCACAACAGCCTGAAACAAAAGCCTGGCAACACCGGCCCACAATATTCACTTTGCTTATTGTCTGGTATGACTCAGTAGGCACTCGCCTGCTACAAGCTACACAATAGATGACAGACAGTTTACCTTTCACTCAGATATCAACATCAACTTTTCCTTCACCTGATTTCAGAAATGCACCATCTTTTTCAGGAGGCAGGAAATACATGAAAAAAATAATGTTTTTTCATAAATTGAGGAAGCCAGAAGACAACGTAAACACTCCCCACAGCTTATAGACTGACTCAGCTCTGGAAGTCCCTGTTAAACATTATGTCATGAGGTTTCTTCACTGCATGAGGACATTGTGATTTGGCATTGTGTGAAAAAAAAACAGCCTGCACCACAGAGGGGCCTTTTTATAAACCAAAATACCAAAGTCATAACCCGGGAGACGGTCTCCCCTGCGGTGCAAAAACCAGAGAGCTCAAGCAATTTAAAAACCAGCATGCTGAATGTTTCTCTGCAGCATCTGGATGGAAAGAGGCTGGATTTCCCTTTAAGAGACTGCCTGATTTAAGCAGTTTTGACACTTTCTGACTCGACAATTTAGTTCGTAGAGACTCATTCTCATTAGGGCCCTCCTGGAGTAAAAGAGAAGACGTAATCAAACCTAAGGATCCTATTTCCCACACTAGAAGGAAAATACAAAAATAAATAAGATATATAAACACATGACCTATGTACAAAGATTGCAGATACAATCTCTTTACAAGATTTTACAAGTTTGTGCTGCACGGTAATATTTTTTAGAAATACACAAGTGCTTTATAAACATTTGGTCTCAATCTAATGGCTCAGGCTGATGTTCCAGTCTTAAAATTTGCAACTTAAAATAACTCCAGTCAAATAAGTAACGACATTCATCCCAAAGCTTTCCCCAGCTTCAACGTCCATAACAACTGGCATACACCATGAAATCTAACACTGGACCCACATCTGAACCTTTAGAGTAGGATCATGAAAACTAGACAGGTAACATTCCAAATAAGATTTTCCTTAAATATTATTAAGATTGTTAAGAAGCCTCTGCATCAACTTATTTGTATATATGCTTTTGCATCCAGACAGCTGGGGAAAGAATGTATAAAAATGCAACATTCAGGGCTACAGTGCAACACTCAATTGTGCAAACGCTTTATCTAATTGTCCACATGCTTGCAGCATGACACTGGTGTATTCATGATATGAAAGAAGATGCTCACCACAGGCTGGTCTGGCCAGCTTGTAATTATGTTGCTAAGATCTCTTTGAAATCATCTTTTTTGATCTAACACATCCCCCGCAAGATGTTTGGGTTATACAGGCTATAAAAACAGATAACAGAGCTCCTGCAAGGTCATCCACAAGCACCACGAGCCAAAACTGAAAGAGCAGTGCGTACCGTGTCACTGTCGATTAATATAAACGTTGATCCAGTTTATGGATGCTATCGTTTCTAGAAGACAGCTAATAAAGCACAAGTTTGGCGTGTGAGGCAATGTTGGTTCTAGCCAGTGGGGTTATGTCCTGTAAATCCTGTTACACCAGCCTGTCAGTCAGTGTCACTTCAGGTGGCGTTTATAAATCCCGGGTAGCAATGTGGCCTGCGCACACCTGCACGTCGGTTTCGGGAAAGTAAAAGGAAACACTTTAGTAAGTGCAGACATGCAGCATGACAAAGGAGACTAGCAGCGGCTATGCTAACCACCCCAACCCCGCCCGCCCCATGCCCGGCTGTCAGTGTGAAGCAGAGCAGGGCGCATGTTTGCGGAGTCCGACAGCTGATAGCGTAAAATGAAAGGAAGGGGGGGGGCCAAAAGCGTCTGACAGACCCCGGCCGCGACAAAACAAGTTGTCGACAGCATTAAGTCGCTACTTCAGAGTAATGAGAGCAGTGTCAGTGAGTTGTGCTAGCACCAAAACTGAGAATCATACCTTTGCTTTGCCGGCCTCCAGCTTCTTTTGCCTCTCCTCGTCTTCCATCCCCGCAGTCCCTGTGGCTAAACAAACAGAGAAACTGCCTCATGCGAAGTATCCGCGAGAGAAATTTAAAAGCTAACCGCTAAATGTCCCTCTCTCTATATGACTCGTGGCTCGCTCCCAGAGACTTCCACTGGCACTAACTAGCTGTCTCCTTGTTGGTAGTCCGCCGCCATGTTTTCCACGTAAACATGAGACCCAGTAATGATGACGTAGTGTAGGTGCCTTCACAGTCACGCCCACTGGCAGCCAAACGGTGGTGTGTTCACGCTCAGTCAGAAATACCGTCCAAAACAAGATCGTCTTTTTTTACCACTTCAAATTTCTATATAGAACTATTATGTTATGTTGTTACTATTTCTGCTGTCCTCTTAGCCATATCTCTCTTTAAAAAGACATGTTTATTGTTAGCGGGACTTTTACTCCTGGATAAGTAAAAGATATATAAAAGTAACATTGTGGAAAAGTGACCACAACTCCCAAATAGTGTCAGGAATGTTTGACAGATTATAGCCCATCAAGTCACTAACAGCAGGTAAATACAGGAAATCATATTTTGGCAGGTGATCACTTTTTGGTATGACCACACAATACTAGAAAAAGTTTTTTAAATACTTTAATTCATTTATAAAAAATCAAAGTTAAAAATTACATTTTGATATATGTGTATATATGTTGTCATTAAAAAGTCTGTTGGCTGATGACCAGAATCTGTTATTTATTGCAAACCTCCACCTACTGAAAAATGAAAGTGTTTTCTTACACAAATTCTCGCCTGGTTGCTGAATTTTCTCACAGAAACTTGTTTTCAGGTGAGGTGGGAATACCAAATTCAACTTCCAGATAATTAATTTGAAAAAATTATGTCACTGTCAAGCTCTGATTCTGACTTTGAGTAAAAGAAGGAGTGACATGACAATTTATTCAACACAGTTTTAGTATATATCTAAACAACAAAAACAAAATAATAATTAAAGTAAAAGTATAACCCTGTATCCAAAAACAGTGGATAGATTTACTCGAACTAATTTTAACCACTGTGTATCCTGTTCTTGGGCATGCCCCGCTAATGCCTTTGGACCAGAGTACTGTAAAGCTTAATGATGCCCAGTGGATGAGAGCATATTAAGTATTTCTATGTACAGCTACATTCTGCTTCTACTTTACCATATTTTCTTTGCAACTACTGTACTTTGCACTCATAAAGTGATATACAAATCAGTGAATCAGAAATTATGATCCAATATATACATGATTCTGAAAAGTGATATTCTATATAATAAGTACATTTACTTTAGACACTAAGTATATTATGATTTAATAACTTGTTCACCATGAAACCACATAAGCCTTTAATATAAATGTTTCTTTTTTGTCCATTTTTTTTTCACTTTGTGAAACAATTATCCAGCATATTCAAACCAGTTTCACTCCCTGCCACTTGAATGCCCCTGATCCTATTGGGTAGCTTTGAATCTGTCTTCTATAAATATATCTTGACTGATAAAATAACGGAGGCAAAGGCCAGATGCTATCAATATAAAATACACGTCTCTCCATTTGTACCCACATAAGTATCTCATAAAAATGCATTTAGTTGGCGTCTACCGTTGAGGGTGGTGATGAAACACTTCCTGACTGCTTTAAATCCAAACAAACCACTTTTCTCCATAATTTATGATTCTCTTTTTTTCTCTCTCGTTGTGGTTTGAAAGAAATTTGTGAATTTGTAGAGCCATTACAGGAAAGTGTGCTGAATTTCTCACGATGTAAAAGATTATTTAATGCAAAAATAATACATTTAGTGCTAATTATTAATAAGCCAGTCACTATATTTGACTACAATACCATAAATTTCCCTTCATTCTCTGCAGTCTGAAGTCTGCTTGTAAAGTCTGCTCAGTTTCTATGGTAACAGGCGAGGAGGAGAGGTTGCCAGAGCTGTCCCAGTTGAGAGTTTTCTTTTTTAAACACAGAATATTTTCATATCAAAGATGTTTGCTGCTAATAAAGGATCCAGCTGTCACCTCGCATTCTCCAGCATGGCATTTGAATGGGCTGCATCACCAAGAGTGCTGCCATATGTTAAAGAGGAAGCACGTGAGCTGTCTCAGCTGAATGGTGCTGCAGGTAATATGAGAGACTGGCATCGGTTTCTAGGACAGATGGGGATGATTAAAATAAATGGACAGGCAATATTTTACTCACAGCCTCCATGTGGGATTGATCTTCAGTCTTAAAATAGTTTATATTTAATTAAAGTAGCGTATTCCTGGCAAACTAAAGGCCTTTTATCTTTCCTGTCATTTTCCCCCAAATAAGTCAGCGATAATATAAACTTTGTGGCTTGATCGTTAGATGAACTAATCTTCTTTCTTTAAAGTTTTTATTTGATCACCAGTGAGCTAATAGGAGATGTGGGTAGTAATTCATAGGGGTCTTTGCTGGGATTTTAGAAATCTGGAGATTATTTCTTACATGTTTGCTTAAACTCCATATTTCCCCAGGGCATGCCTCAAACTGCACATGTAAGACTAACAAATTTTAGCCAGTTTTATTATTTCATACTCTTTGATTATTTCATTACACTGTTACATTTTATTTCAATTTCCCTGAGATTAAAGTCCAGGTGGACCAACATTTATTCCCTTTTTATTTGCAGGCCAGTCCAGTCTTAAACAAAAATCCTACCTAAGCGTTTTGCCTCAGTTTCATTCGAAGATTTCTTGTTCTAACATCCAGGCTAAAATATTCCTGTAGAATTATAAAATATTAAACTTTCCCTTATACTTCCAGAAACATACCAGTACTAGCAGTAGCAGCAGCAGCAGCGGGAGAAGATGCTCTGTGTCTTCGGCTGACGGGGGCTGAACAGCTTATTGTCTGGCAGATTTTGAATTCCACCCATCTTCTTTTGGACATTCTCACCAGCCTGATCTCACCTGTGAAAGCTTGCTGTTTGAGCACCAGCGTCTGCAGGAACTTTTGAAAGTTTCGTCAGCCTCTGAATTATTGATTCACTCAGGGAGTATACAGAGTCTACAATTACCCAAGTGACTTTACCAAGACAAGCTCAACAAATGAACAGCATGCATGCTATATTTATAAGTCAGAGGATGGTGAATAAAGGCTGTTAGAATTAAAATGATAGAAACATCTAGATACTGAAAAGTAAAATGAAACCACTCTGAACCATTTTTCTTATAACACTTTAAATACATATGGTGGAAATAAGATGAAAAGGAGCCTTAACTAATCTAGATTATCATCACATCCAGTGCTACAGCTTTTTTTTTTTTTTTAAATTAAAGTGTATTTATAGCCCAGAAGTGTAATATAGTTTCACCTTCTGAGATCCTCATATGATTACATTTTTTAAAGGCTTTTCTTCATCCTTATACTTCATTCTGCTCAAAGCATTCTAAATTTTATTACACAAAGGAGACTTTATTGTGCTATACTTCATAAACCCAACATGTAAATATGAGGACATGGCTGCAAAAACAAGCCAAATCATGGCCTATCCACCACCGTGCTTGACAGTAGGTGGTGTGCTGACGTGCTGTACTTGGCTTTCACCAAACATGGTGTTGTGCATTATAGCCATAGATCTCCACTTTGGTCTTTTTAGAGAGAAGAGGTTTTCTTCTGACAGTCCATCCAAACAAGCCATACTTGTTAGAGATTAGCAGCACTTGGCTGCCACTTGCCCACTTAATTCCTATGGAAACAGTAAGGGTATACTACCTCTTCAGTGTTGTAAGCGACTGATAAAGTCCTGTGAAAACTTCACGTGACTTTGTATAACCAAAACATGTATGATCTATCTTGGCATCTTGTAATCTCTTATGAGGCCAAATAACTTTATGGGGGGCTAAAAATATATATTTCACACTCCAGTAGGGTTAGTTAAGTGCAACAAGAAAGCTGGAAGCTCAGCAACACGTGGGAATGTCTCTGTTTTAAATACAATAGCAGCGTAGATCAGATTGAACCACTCTTACCATTTATGGTGTCTTATAACCTCTCTTTATCATCTGTCATAGAGTATAAGTAATTAAAAGACAGACACAAAGACCATAAGGGTCCTTAAAATACTTTGGATAGGTTTAAGAAAAATGCAGGTGTGCAAATGCAAATGTAACTGTGACCTGTGGATGTGTGAGACGAATTTGAATCGAGACTCCAGTTGCCCAGCTGTTGCGATGGAGCTCACTTCAGTCTTAGAGCAGCAGAGCAATGTGTATTTGCATAATGACAATATCAGTGTCATGCATTAAAATATGCATAAGTGGGGGGACTCATCAGTAAAGAGACGCACTGGGTCAGTACGTTTATCAGTGGTAGGCTGTGAATCATAACACATGGTAAGTGTCCTCTTGTAGCTTGTATGAGAGCATCTGCTAGCTGAGACAGAATTAACTATTGATGCCTGTAACAACAGTCCAGTCCTCTATAATGCTGTGTTTTTATTATGTAATTGAAGCTTCCCAGGTTACTGAAAAATGTCATTGCTCTCCGAGAGCTTCACTAGTGACTGAGCACACTGTAATTTAGAATGTACAGTATGTGCAAAGCAGAAAAGCACTTATTCAGGGTCATCTCCATGGAGATGTCCCTCAAATTGTTTGTGAAAAATTCAGGTTTTTATCAAACTAAGAAAGGAAAAATTCTCGATGCACACAGACCATACATTTTTGAAGGTTAATTTTAATTAAACCATGTCTTTAAATTTGACTAATGGTAAGGAAATACATTAATTTACACATCACTTACGCAGGATGTAGTGAATTAAAAAGAATTAAAAAAATCAATATAATGTTTGAAAATTGATATTGAACAATATTAATAGAAATTAGGGGAAACTGGGCAAATGGCCTAAGTTTTTCTAAAATCCCGCCTACCGTCCTTACACCAACCATTCACAATATTAAGATGTCATCTGTGTAATATTGTGTGGATCGTCCTAAAAGCGCTGATGTTTTGGAGAATTAACATTGAACTACTGGGTATCCTGTGCTTTCTGGTCCTGTGGACTGTGAGGTGGGACACCTGTGGATCAGGTTCAGGTGGGAATGTGTCATTTGGAGGTCTGATTAAATCCTTAGACACCTAAGTTGATCAAATTATGCACAGTTTCTGAGGTGAGCCATGCTGGTGGAATCTGCTGCCAGTGAAAGGCTCTGTTGTCATTTGAGTGTCCTTGTTCTGCAACAGTAAGCAGATGTTTGGTACATGTCAATGTAAGATCCACACCAATGCCAAGATTTCCTAGCAGAATATGGCACTGTAACGTTATTCACTTCACCTGTCATTGGTTTATATGTTCTATTCTTTCAAATAGAAGATCTTTGCTTCCATCTAGTGGTTATAAATCAGTATAAAGGCAATGGCTTTACAGATTTCAGAGGAAATGTGCAGAAATGACAAGGAACAGGTGAGAAGTCTCTGATTTAAACACAGAAAAACACTAACAGAAAAAAATTAATCACTGTCAGCAGAAATATGAGGCTGAAAAAGGCAATGGCTGGAAAACCAAATTAAAAATAGAGTTAAACGGAGTGTTAGCAATATAGCCAACAGCAAAAAAAAAAAGAACGAAAATAACGAAACTTACACTGTATTACATTATCTGAGAAAAAACATGTTTTAGAAGATGTGAGGTGGTGTTTGGCACAAACTCCACCATACCAGTTGTGTCGCTATCGTATTATTTTGTCATTTAACCTACAGCCAATAAATATAACGAAGAAGAAAAATCTCGCGAGAGTTCTTGGAGTTCACGTTACCGGCATGGAAGAAATGTTGGCTTTCGGTATGTTTTTAATACTTTTTAAAGCAGACTGGTACTTAAAGGGCTATTACTGATAAGATATTGTACATCGCTAAACAGAAACGACTGTGTGCTTTGGTTGGACTCTTCAGTTAGTTATTCCCGGGCGAATAAATACAAGCTTCCCTTTGTATTACTAACGTAAATAACTTTGCCAAAGTAACGTACGCATTATGTAGTAAATAACTAGTAAATGGCCAGTATCAAGCAGTTCACAACTAAGTTTAAGAATACTTGTTTGGAAAGTTTCTGTTACTGGTGTAAGCTTGGAGCGGTTACTTAAACTGAAGTAGCGGTGTGTCAGCAAATCAGATTAGCACCACCACCACCTCCAAAATTCCTCTACAATGTAGTGAGAGACTGATAAAGTCACACAGAAAACAGTCACTCCAACTTACTGATTATAAAGGTGGTTCTACAGCTGTTAACCAGTGGGGTTTGATTAGTTTTTCACAGGACTGCAGCTGTGAAAACTGTCTTTTCATGACTGTATATTAACATGTCTGTTTTTTCTTGTCTGAATTGCAGTGATGCTTCAGTGTGGCCCTCCTCAATAAAAATGGCAGGGGTTCCTGGAGTGAGAGCCCTCCTCACTGTGCAGCGATCGGTGACATTGCAGCACAGCTTTTTTGGCTTCACTCCAATACATTTTGCATCAGCCTGCTTCCCCAGAAGGCTTTACAGTACTTCGACAGGAAGTACTGAAACAAAGCCGCCGGTAAACCCGGAGAATGAATCTCTGCTCGAGAACTTGAACCTCATGGGAGTTGACGTGAGGATGGCACGCCAGCGTCAGCCTGGGGTGCTTCGTAAAACCTTCACTAATGAGAACGGCCTCGCTCAGTTCCTGCAAGGAAAAGGTGCCGGCCGCAAAGTCATTGCTAGCATAATATCCCGTTATCCCCGAGCCATCACCCGCTCCATTGAACACTTGGAACAACGCTGGCAGCTGTGGAGAAACATCTTCCAGACAGACGCAGAAATCGTAAGCATCCTGGATCGCTCACCTGAGTCGTTTTTCCGCTCCAGTGATAACGACAACTTGGAAAAGAACATAGATTATCTGGTCTCACTGGGACTAAATGCCAAAGATCTCCACCGGCTGCTGACCACAGCACCGCGAACATTCTCCAACAGCTTAGAGCTCAACAAGCAAATGGTGGAGTTTCTGGAAGATATCTGCACAGAGCTCGGTGGAAGTAACCCAGAGCAGTTTGCAAAAATGGTCATGACAAGAAATCTTTACATTCTAATCAGAAGCACTAAGAGAGTCAAGACAAACATCGACAACCTGAAAGCATCACTTAAGTTGAGTGATTCAGAACTGCTGGCTCTTCTTCAAGGCCACGGGGCAGAAATTCTGGACCTTTCCAACGAGTACCTGAAAAAGAATTTCAACAGCCTGGAGCAGAAGATGACCGCACTTGGCTGTCGGAAAGCTGATGTTAAAAAACTGATCATCAACTATCCGATGATCCTCTACATTGGGCCTGACACTCTGAGCTCTAAACTAGACTGTCTTTTAAAAGGAGGAATAACAATGAAGCAGATACTGGAAAAGCCCAAAGTTTTGGACTACAGCACACAAAACATTACAGGGCGACTAGAGGAACTGAGAAGGTTGGGCTATGACTTCCAGAAGAATGGCATCAACATCCTCGATTCAAGTCGAAAGCGGTTTGCCGCAAAAATAGAAAAACTTTCTGCCTCACCAGAAGAATGAGTGTAGCTTGCTGCCTGTCAGACAGTGTTGGCTGATACTTTTTCATCTTTTTGACTTAAGAATAATCAGGTTTTATGTTCAGAGATAATATGATTGAGCTCTTTTAATATCCCAAACTTAATTCCAGTATTGAAATCTAAACATTGTGCCTGTGATATTCTTCTAGTCTCACAAAAGTAATTAAAGCAGTAAAAATAATAAGTTGAAGGTCTGGGGACATGGAATTACATTTGAAGCTAATGAGTAAAAGAAAATTGTCAGTGGATTACCCATTATGTAATGTTTCAGCTCAAATACCAGGTGTTTTAATCCATCAATACGCTGTCTTGGAATTAAAAAAAATGCAAAAGATGAAATACATTTGACTGAATGTTTCATTCACAGGTAAAGTTATGGAATGACTTATGTGATGTTTGTTTTTAAGCACTGAAGAAGACTTTTGGGCCATTTTAAAACCAACACATGGTAAGAGTCATTAAGAAAATGGGTTTTTCTTTTAGTTAAATGACTGGAGCAAAGATCTCCATTTACACTCACCATACAACTTTGTTAGGCACACTTTGCAAATACCAACTTGGACCCTCTTTTTTTCCCCTTCAGAACAGCATGACATAGATTCCTCTGAGATTTTGGTCCATTTTGAAATGACAGCATCACACAGTTGCTGCAGATTTGTCCGCTCCTCATCCATGATGCAAATCTCTTTTTAATATATATTATTAGAATTTAAAGGATATTTGTCAGAATTTTTTATTTGTTTGAATAAATATTACAATGTAAACATCAATTTTGGAGGGCATATGAATCACAGGCATGTAGAAATCTCATGTCTCAAACAAATGCATCAAAGCCACATCAGGCAGGCTGATAACACATTTTATTGTCATTTGAATTTTTTAGCTCTTAAATGGTTCAGTCAAAACAAAAGGAAAGAAAACTGCACAAAATAACAAAACTGGATATAAATAGATTCATTATTGAATAAGGTTAAAGACTAAAAATAATACGGTCTAAAATGAACAATAGTCAGTTAAACTAAAAAGCGAGGGCCTTGTGAACCGGCTGCCGCGACAGACTTGACCAAATTGACAAAGACTAACGATAAAAACATTTCATGTATATTTTTAATTTGTTTTACTTAGTCACGCTCCAGCCCAGTAGGTGAATCTGAGTGCTGGATTTCAAAGGCAATGAGAACGATTTGCGAGCGGTTCGCGGAACCAATGTTGAGCAGCAGGTTTACCACGGACGTATCTAAGGTGCTGCACAACGGTTTCCTCGCGATTCTGGGTTGTGCATGTCCAGTTGTGGAAAAAAAAACAAAACCCAGGAACTTTTGACTTGATTTCTACGTGCTGTACATCAGTTGTCTTTTAACTTCACGGTTGGAGCAAGGCGGTTGTTTACTCAGTATATCGGTAAGTGGTCTAACTCAGCTACAAGAGGAAGCTAACTGGTGGAAGTGTAAGGTTAAATATGGAGCACAGAGAAAAGCAGGCAAGCTGATTATGATAATAAGGCAGTACCTGAACTGGTTTAATGTGTGCATAAAGTGTCCTAACGTAGGATTGGGAGCTGAATGGTCCTGTGGAGTGTTTAATTAGAAAGGTGTTAAAATGTTGCAGGAAGAGAGACTGTGATGGAAACAGCGGAGGAGGTGAACGTTTCGAAGAGGGCAGACGTGGCTGCAAAGGGTGAAGCTGCGATCAAACCAGAGTAAGATACTGTTAATAACTAAGAAAACTGTGGAAATCGCATTTTTATGTTTTTGCAGCAGATTTCAGGAGAGGGAAGCTGCAAATTAGAGCAATCTTTCTCCAACTTTCAAAAGAGACAGCCATGAGTCAGGGGACTGAAGATAACGCCAGATTTTTATGATGGACGTAAGCCAGTTAGTAAGATGGGAGCAAGCATAGCTGAATAAATAACCATGTGTTTGAGTTTATGAAAGAACAAAGCAGATCATCTGACCTGAGCAAACAGCACAAGCAAGGCACGTGACTATAAGGAGGCTGTCTGCATCTGAACTTGTTAAGATGTTCGTGTGAATTTATGTGAAAAAACTGTAGAAAGTGTCTACAAGAGATAATAACTCATTTACACAACATAAAAAAATATGGCCCTGTAGGGGTGAAACAGGGGCTTTGCAACCCCCAGTGGCGTAGTAAGGACTTACTGCCTTTATTTTCAGCCTTCCTGCTGCTTTGTCTGATGAAGCAAAGAGTGTTACACTGTCAGCAAAAAGGCTGTTGAAGGCCCTCAACTCTTTGCTTTCAGTGTTTCAGTGACCCATGCTACAGGGTCTTACTGGTTTAGCATAATTTACTCCCATTATGCTCTTTTTTTTTCTCAGTGTGAATATAGTTCATACTAAAATGCTTTAGTGACACACAGACTGTTTTTACACATAATTTAAAACAAAATTTATCAGGAGGATTCTTTCATCATCTTCTTATGTTTGCAGATTCCTTACAACCAAAGACAAGTTTCATGGGTTGTTAGACTCAGAGTGGCAGGGCTCAAAAAGAGAGAAAGCCAGTGAAGGTGATGCAGTTGAGGATTCAAAGGAGACTTCTTTGGAGGAACCTGAACCTAAAAGGCTGAAACAAAATTTTGAGGGTAGACCAGATGGCAAGCGTCTTCGGGGACAGAATAAGTCAAGGCCGCACACAAAGCCCACAGCCTACGATGAAAAACGACTTTGTCACTCAATCATTCAGGTATGAAGCTCTGACTCTGCATTCAAAAAGGCTCTGTGCAATACATTTTGATCCATATAGTTATTTTTGTGCCTCCACCTCCCCCCCCCCCATAAATTTAGAACAAAGAATGCCCCTTTGGAGCAAAGTGCTTCTTTGACCATGACATTGTCAAGTATATGGATTCTAAGCCTTCCGATATTGGGGAAACCTGTCACATCTATGAAACATTTGGAAAATGTGCCTACGGTTTGTCCTGCCGCTTCGCCAAGGCCCACACTACGCCTGACTTCAAATCCATGGAGAAGGCCGAGCTGGTCAAGGTGTATGAAGGCAGGACTATGGTGAAGAACAACATGAGTAAGGAGCTCCAGGGTCGCCTGAGGAAGCGATCGGTGTCCTTCGAAAAGTCAGAAAAGTACCTGAAAACACTCTCAGACAACAAAGATAAAGGAGCACAGCAAGGCAATGGTAAGACGAGTGAAAAGGCTTTTATAAAGAATGCTGCCATCACAAATTTTGTTCTTGCTTTTTAGGAAGAAACAGATACTGAGTATGTCACTCAAGCCTCTTTTTTACTAGTACCCACTTGCCTCGGCTCGGCTCGACACGGTTTTGGTCGTTTTCCATTACAATTGAGTAACATCTATTGTGCGTGGGGTCGTTATAGCAACACAGCCAAAAGTCCAGTGATTTACAGCTTGTGATTTTCTATTTTTGTGAAGGGGACATCTCACGATTCATCAAGTGTCACCATTGATTGGCTTTTGACCAGCTCACCCAGTTTTAGCAGATTAAATACACTCCTATTCTGTTTCTTTTAATCTGCACATGTGTTGACCTGTTGCTTACATACTCATACTTGCATTGTTAATTTTTGTGTATCTTAATTTGTTCCTTTGTCTCACTCATGGGATCTATGTGCATCTGAATTTTCTGCTGATCCAGCTGGAGAAAAACAGCCTGTTTCTAGTGAAGTACAGGTAACCTTTTCTACTAACAGCATTCCCTCTTACTGACCACTCTGTCATTGAGCCTTACGTTTATTGCGTGTGTTTTTCATGTTTCTGACTAACTGTAGACCAGCTCAGATAAACAGTCTGCTCCAGTGAAGACCGTCGGCCCGTTGACTGATGCAGATGTCATCAAGCTGCGCCCGTGTGAAAAGAAGCAGGTATATCTCTTCCAGTCGCTTTCCTCCAGAGTTTTCATGTTTGTTTAAACGATAAACAAGGTGTTTTAATAAACTGTTCTAATCAGCAGACATCTGATACTCATATATATTTAGGGAATATTTACACGATTTAAATTACAGTCAAATTGCATTGCTTAATGCCTCTTTTTGCCTTTGTTCTTAAGGTGGATTTTCAAGACAAGCTCTATCTCGCCCCTCTAACAACTGTAAGTACCATCACACTGAAATCAGTATTGGAGTTAGTGGTAGTTGTGTTTTTTAATATATTTCTATCTTTAAATCCAGGAATGTAGCAAGTGCAATTAAATAATGACCTGTAAATGAGGTCTGGATCTGATAAAGCAAATATTTCTTTAATTTCCTCAGTGTGGAAATCTGCCTTTCCGTCGCGTGTGTAAGCGCTTTGGTGCAGACATCACATGTGGGGAGATGGCCATGTGTACAAACCTGCTGCAGGGCCACCAGTCTGAGTGGGCCCTCCTGAGGAGACACGAAAGTGAAGATGTGTTCGGTATTCAGGTGATGTTTAAAATCTTCTGAAGGATTCAGTCCTATAGAGGGCGTTGTTGGTAAGACATCTGGATTTGTGTGAGAGTGCAAGGACTGTGATTTTTAAAGCCTGAATTGCGTCTCTAGGTGGAGGGCAGTTTCCCCGACACAATGACGAGGTGTGCAGAGCTCATCAACAACAACACTGAAGTTGATTTTGTGGACATCAACTCTGGGTGTCCCATTGATCTTGTATACAACAAGGTAAACTCTTAACTTGCCCCCCCAAATGCTCAGACCGTGACTTTTTTTTCTTTCATTTCCTAATAGACAAATTGAGACTTCCTATTTTGCAGTCAGATGCATTTTGTGTGTTTATACTACAGCACAAAGAGCACAGATACCAGCATTTGAGTGGAAGTGTTAAACATTAATATGACAGTCACTGACAGATGGCCTTTGTTTTTTCCCATCAGGGCGGAGGCTGCGGCTTGATGACACGTACCAGAAAATTTGAACGAATAGTCAAAGGAATGAATTATGTAAGTATGACTTTTTGCCTATTGTATGGTAATGATGCAAGAAGGAGAGTTTTGTTGCTCTTGTGGATCATTGCAAAGTTACAGTTCAGTTCAATTTTATTTATATAGCACCCAATCACAAAAAACAGCTGTCTCAAGATGCTTTATATTTTAAGCACAGTATTTGAGGGAAAACCCCAATTCCCCCTCGAAAAGCATTTGGCAACAGTGGGAAGAAAAACTTTATTAGATCCTGGCTCAGGGAAGGGCAGCCATGTGCTGTGACTATTTTAGGGTGAAGGGAAGAAGACAGGATAAAAGAGACACAGCCTTCAGTTAAAGGCTGAATGAAAACCTTTTTCTCCCTGTAGGTCCTTGATGTCCCTCTAACAGTCAAGATCCGCACCGGCGTTCAGGAAAAGTCTAACATAGCACACAAGCTCATCCCAGAG